TGCTATGAAGACCAAATAATGGTTCACAAACTCTTCATGTATGGAAGACATCACAGCTGAAGATTATGCTGCCATTTCAACCGCTTATACATTCTAAGTGAGCCCATCTTACAACTCTGGTTTCTCTATTATCAATGCCAATATGAGAGTTATTGGACAGTACTAGAGGGAAACATCAGTTCAAACAACACTTTTTTGTCTTTCTCCTTATTTAAAATAGATCTATGGGTGAAAAATACTTCAAGATTCTTTGTAGCAACAGGGCAAAATAAAGCTTTCTTGGGAATAATTTGTCTGAATAAAACTTTATGCTGTGTCTACCATCTGCTAACTACTGTTGGGGCACCAAAATGAGTATGACAAGATCATAGCACATCAACTACAAATTCACAATATGTACTTATAATAAAATGATCATTTTTACTTAAAAGCAAGGACATGGCTAGAGCTCTTAGAATAAAACTTACCTTGTTTCACACCACCTACAAGGGTAGTGAAAGAGGACATCAAAATCATTAAATTCAATTACTACCCCATGAAGCAGTGTTTTCCAAATTGCATTTAGTGGGGCGCTACTAGGATAGTTTTCCTTGTTTTTCAAGTGTGGATAATTGACTTCTTAATCCCGCTCTGTTCATGACCCATTGTCATCATCGATCCCTGTAAGATCACTTTATTGGCATTTATCCCCATTCTCTTCCCCCACTTAACTTTTCTTCATAAACAACCATTCCTTTTAAAGCAAGTATTTTTATACATATGCCCTCTTATGTGTATTTTTGGGTTTTGCACACCTCTTCTTTAAATTTATGTAAACGGTATTGGGGTACATACCTATTCTTACTTTCACTACCCACACTCTTTAAAAAATTTGCCCATGTTACTTTATGTTGTCAATTTCTTCTAGTATGTGCCCAGTACACTACATTTCCCTATCCACACCCACAATGATGAATGCCCACACTGCCTCCAATCCTCTGCCCCATAAACAAGCTGTGACAATTATCCCCATATATGTTCCCTTACGGACTTGCTGGGAAAGTCTTTGTAATACAGAGCCAGAAATAAAATTGCTGAGTCACAGAATATACACCTACTCTTAAATTAACTGGATACTGCCCAACTGCCCTCCAAAATGGCAGGACCATTCCACATTCCCAACAGTAACCTGGAAGGATTCCTGCATCTTTACAGGTACTTGGCATTGTTCAGCTTTCTTTTGTCAGTCTAATGGGTCTAAAGTGATTCTTCACTGTTTTGTTTTCCTTATCTATGATTTATACTCGTAGGTCTTTTTATAAGTGTTGGCTTCAGGTTTTTCTTCTATATATTCTACATATCCTCTTGCAGTAAGTAGGCAAACAAAAAAGTTGCTTGAACATTTCTGCTCATATATACTGTCTGTTCATATCCCTTTTCCATATCTCTATTGAGGTTGCTATTCTCTTATTGTTACTTTCTATATGTTTCTTAATTATTCTAGACTTCAATCCCTTGTTGGATTTAGATATTTCAACTATCTTTGACCAATTCATCATCTATCTGTTAATTTTATATTCTATAGTCTCTATTGAAAGATAAATTGAGGCATAATAAAAATTTAAGAGTTTGAACAAAAATTGGTACAAATTGGACAGCAGAAATGTTTAGGAGCACTTGCTCCACTGACAAGAGCTCAGAGAGAGTCTTCTACAGAGAAAAGGCAGAAGAAAAGCCAATTATTGACTGGCTACAGCTTAAATTTTAGTTGGCTGTTTGTGAATGGTTGTCCTTAGCATTTTGATTTTGTAACCTTGAGGTATTTATAGGCTCAATTTTTTGTTTGCTTAATGTAGGCCACTGCAGCATTAGTGCCACATCAGTCTAATGGCTTCTTTAGTTAATCTCTGCTATGGAAAACATCAAACTGTTGTTTTGATGTAATTATCTTTTTTTTTTTTTAACTTATGACGAGAGAAAAACTCTCTAAAGGCCTGATACACGAGGGAAGCCATTTTAGATTTCTTTCTAAGTTAGCATGACTGTACATCAACTCTGTTCAAAACAATAGCCTGATTTACAGCCTGCTACACATTTATTGTACATGTGCTTGTGTAGCCTAAGGAAAGGTAGCCAAAAGGAAAACCCTCTTGTCCTTGAGATATCAATCAACACTCCTGTTCCCTACATTCCTTTACAATAAAACTCATAATTCCTGCCTATACACTAACCTATAGTCTATTGAGCTTTTACAAGATGTAAAAAAGTATGCAACTCTGTAGAAACTATTTATTCTCCAGAGTACTTTCTACCCTGTGAAGAGTGTGCTCCCTGCGCAGCTGTTTTAACTTGGGATCAGATAAAACTCTTTACTTTTAGAAATTCTAAATGGTTTGTTCAATTTGTGTTGACACTTACAATCTGTGCTTTTGCAATGTTGTCAAATAGGTTGTACCCCACTCTTCAGTATAAAGATAACCTCCAACCAACTTTACATTAATGTATTTTGGGGTCTTAAGTAACAGACATACTATTAAGGTTGGATGATTGTTTTTAAGATTCTATTTTTATTTAGCATATATTATTTGCTTCAGGGGTACAGGTCTGTGAATCATCAGTCTTACCCATTTCACAGCACTCACCATAGCACATACCCTCCCCACTGTCCATATATCCCCCATTCCCCAGCAACCCTCAGTTCGGTTCATGAGATTAAGAGTCTCTTATGGTTTATCTCCCTCCCGATCCCATCTTGTTTCAGTTTTTCCTTCTCTACCCCCCCACGACCTCCCACCCTGCCTCTCAAATTCCTATCAGAGAGATCATATAATTTTCTTTCCCTGATTGACTTATTTCGCTCAGCATAATACCCTCTAGTTCCATCCACATCACTGCAAATGGCACGATCTCTTTTCTTTTGATGGCTGCATAGTATTCTGTTGTAGATATACACCACACCTTCTTTCTCCATCATCTGTTGATGGACATTGAGGTTCTTTCATAGTTTGGCTATTGTGGACATTGCTGCTATAAACATTCGGGTGCACGTGCCCCTTCGGATCACTGTATTTGTACCTTTAGCATAAATACCCAGTAGTGCAATTGCTGAGTCATAGAGTAGCTCTATTTTCAACTTTTTGAGGAATCTCCATACTGTTTTCCAGAGTGGCTGCACCAGCTTTCATTCTCACCAACAGTGTAGGAGGGTTCCCCTATCTCCACATCCTCGCCAACATCTGTCATTTCCTAACTTGTTAATTTTAGCCATTCTGACTGGTGTAAGGTGATATCTCATTGTGGTTTTGATTTGTATTTTCCTGATGCCGAGTGATGTTGAGCACTTTTTCATGTGTCTACTGGCTATAAAGATTTTATTTTTAAGTAATCTCTACACCCAATGTGGGGTTTGAACTCATGACCCTGAGATCAAGAGTGGAACGCTCCACTGAAGGAGCCAGCCAGGCACCCTAAAATTGGGATGATTAATAAAAAAAGAAAAAAAATATATATATATGCTCCCCTATTTTCACTACCTTCTATTAATTTCTTAGTTTGACCTTTCACATGTACACCTTTAATGCATCCAGAGCCCCACCTTTTCATGTGGTGTTTAATTTTCTTCATTTGTTTTCTTTTCCCCATTGATTTGTGCAGCCATGTTTATTGTACATTACCTTTCCAACTGATATTGATGTTGGTAGTCCAAGAAGCACTGTTTAAATAGCAAGATATTAAACAAGAGTAGTGAACACCTAGTTGAAAGAACTGATAATGGTAGATAAGGGTTATTTTAGGAGAACAGAAGGACTATACATTCTATTTTTACACATACCAATCCATAATGAAGTAAAAATCATGCCCATTAGAAGTTTTTAGATGATAAAATGGGGATGGTTTTGGTATCTGGAAAATACACATTGAGAAATTACTTACTTCCAGGGTGCCTGGGTGGCTCAGCCTGTTAAGCGACTGCTGTCAGCTCAGGTCATGATCCTGGAGTCCCAGGATCCAGTCCCACATCAGGGTCCCTGCTCAGCAGGGAGTCTGATTCTCCCTCCGACCCTCCTCCTTCTCATACGCTCTTTCTCTCTCTAAGATCTTTTTTAAAAAGAGAGAAAAAAATATTTCTTATAGCACCAGTTCACATTCAATCAATGCATTCCCTGATCTAAATCTCTAAAACACAGCAACAAACCTTGGTTAGGTGATACTGAAAGTTTGATTACCCAAAACATCAGTCACTGGGCAGCTATTCGAACAATGCCTTGAAGCCCCGCTTTAAAAAATAAGTTCACTCCCTTTCTCCAATAACTCTCTGCAGAGGAAAAAACAAAAAGCATAGTAGGCGCCAGTTCACATATATCTAATCGAATTCGAGAACCAAGGAAAAGTCCCTTTTCAAATGTTTTAACTGGTATATTCGCCCTATGAGTGAACAATTCATACTGAAATCAACTCAGAAAGGCAGCTATAAACACCAATTCGTTAATAATTTAACGTGTATGGAGTACCGTATGAGTATTAGAATTTTCTTCCCCACACTTGTGGATTGTATTGTCCAAATGTCTTTGCTGAACACTTTTAACTAAATCAGAAAAAGACGGAGGTGGAGGTGGGGATGGGGAGAGAGAGGAGGGCAGATTATACAACAGCAGGGGAGGAGAGGACAGATAATACAACAGCAGGAAACCTGCGGAACTAATACGTTACTTGGGGAGGGGGGACTGGCTCTCGTTAGTGGTTTCTCTTGTTGAGCGTGGACAAGTCATTTCACCTTCCTCGGCTTCGATTTTCCACTGTTGGGCGGAGAGGTTAAGAAGTATGAGTTAACTTACTCCGCTCTTCCTTTTCGAGTCTTCCCAAATTGATTGACAAACTTTGCGCTTTCACTCCTCCTCTCTACGCCTGCGCGGAAGAGGCGCCTCGCTTTAATACCTTCATTTAGCCTCTCCCGCGTAGGCGCCAGTTTCCCCTCCCTGTCTAAGAGAGGCGGGACTTCCTGTCCCTTGTAGACACACTGCCGGAAATGACTGCAGGCGAATCGGCGTTGGCCAAGCCTGGGAGAGTGTAGGTTGGCGGTGCTAGCTGCTGCTTTAGGCTTCAAAGATGCCAGGTCTGGCGGCCGCAAGCCCTGCCCCGTCTGACTCACAGGAGAAAAAGCCGCTGAAGCCCTGTTGCGCCTGTCCGGAGACCAAGAAGGCCCGCGATGCTTGGTCAGTGCGCCCGCGGGGAGGGGGCGGCGGGCAGGCCCCGCGCGCCGCCTTCCGGTGTCTTCGTGCCCTGCCTGGCCCTGGGCTTGTAGTTGCGCCGTGCTGCGCTCTTGAGAGTTAAGAGGGCCCTGTAGGGTATGGATCAGCTGCCTTGATTGAGCCCATAGCCCAGACCGGAAACATGGATGAAAGGTTAAGAGAGAGGTCAGACTGAACCAGGCTCGCTTCACTTAGTCATCCTTTACTGCAAGGGGTTTTTGAGTATCTGTTATGTGTCAAGCACTGCCTTAGGTCTACTAAAGACATAGAAATATAGATGCTACTTGATTTAAAGGAGCTTAAAATTAATGGAGACGTATACTAAGATTGCTGTTACCACGTGGTATGGGCTGTGATAGAAAATTTGGCAAGATCAAAGAGTAAAAGTTCTGGTAAAGTTTTGGCACAGTAGGACACGGTACATTTCTTAAAGTACTGAAGAGTTCCCCCTACCTCTCCCCGCTCTTTGGGTAAATGAATTAAAGATCAGACTATGACGTTGGTGACAGTGTTTAGAATAGTACATCTAAATTACTATCAACGCACAAAAGGTTTTGTTTGTACTAATTTTATACAGCCTGTGTTGTGGAGCAAGTCTCATTAGGGGGATCCTCAGAAAATGTGAATGTACACCCCTCCCTCCAGCCCCTTTTTGTCCTCCTATAAAAATAATAAAAAGTGGCATAGTGGGGTTAATAATTGTAGGAGCTTAGTGCTTTTTATTAATACTCAGTACTTCGCAAATAATACTGTGAAAGGTGAATTGAAAGACTACAATCTGGTAAGTGCTTATTGAATCTAAAGATAGTATGCTTTCATGATTAAGAGCCTGGGATCCAGAGTCAAGGTTTGAATCCTGGTCCACCGCTATGTGACTTAAAGCAAATTGTGCGAAATGGGCTTAATAAAAATATCCACCTCTATCTAGGATTACTGTAAGGGTTAATGATTCAAGCCACACAAGTGCCTTGCTAGCTATTAGCTTCATAGGAAGCTCTACCCCGAGCATTTATTCATTTGCAGGCAGCCCTTGAGCTGTTTGAAGGATGTATAGGATTTGGATCTTTAAAGAAGGAGAACTTAACCTTCAAATTGTTTTTGTGTTGTTTCAGACCACTATGCCCATATACCTGGAGTTAGTAGTCATTTTTTTTTTTTTAATAATTGAACTTGGCTTAACTTGATCTTTGCTAAAATTACATTTTCAGGCCCTAGAAATAAAGCTTTGTGGTCCTAGGTTTTACTTTGTGAATTTTACAAATAAAAAGTTCTTTGATCATCATGAGGGAGGCTCATCAGGATGCTGTTGGCTGCCAGATCTTGCTGTTTGAATGTTTTGGGGTGTATTGTGATAAGAAGATTTATTTAGGTCTATTTGAATGTAGGGCAGAATAAAAAATTTAATTCCTCTGTACTAGGCAAAAAATTAAGTTCTCTCTGTCCTTCGTTTAAGGTAGATAATGTATTCAGATGGTTTATTTCATTAGAGAACTGTGTTCCTTGGATCTGAACTAGAGGCAATATTAAGCATAATTATTTCTTCTAATTAGATTCTCCCTAAAAACTAGTATCTGTGAAACATCTTTATGGGCATGGAAGTATCACAAGAGCCAATAAAAACAAAGCCATTTGGTGTAGTAGCTTTTTTTTTTTTTTTAACCCCAGCTACATTCCATCAGACCCATGTTCTGCCTCACTCCCCATAACTATCATGCATGCTTGCTTACTACTAACATGTTTAATGCCTGCTTTGTTAGATAACAAGTACAATTTGTTTTATAGCATCATTGAAAAAGGAGAAGAACACTGTGGACACCTAATCGAGGCCCACAAGGAATGCATGAGAGCCCTGGGATTTAAGATATGAGATGGTGAGCAAGATTCTTTCTGATTGGGAAGATAATACATAGACTTATTGCTTTAGATTTGTGCTTTATAGATTTAGCATTTGGGCAACATTCTGTTCAAAAGGTAGTTCACCTGGCTAATCTAAGATGCTTAAGTATCATTTAAAAATAATTTTCAGTTTCTAATATAGGGAGTAAATGATGCTAATAAATTGAGAGGTATTCAGTGGATCTTTCACAAAAGATCTTTCTTCAGATAGCACCTTAATTCCTTCCGGTCAGGTCTATGTTCAAAAGTCTCCTTATAAGGCACCTGGGTGGCTCAGTCTGTTAAGTGTCTGCCTTCAGCTCAGGTCACGATCCTGGAGTCCTGGGATTGAGCCCTGTATTGGGCTCCCTGCTTAGTGTGGAGCCCAATACAGGGCTCCTTCTCTCTCTGCCCCTCCCCCTTCTTGTGCTTTCTCTCTCTCTCTTTCTCTTTCTCTATAAATCAATAAAATCTTTAAAGGAAAAAAAAAGCCTCCTTCTTAGAGAATCTTTGCCTCAACACTCCATCTGAAATAGCATCCCTTCCCATCACTATCCCAGCACTGTCCTATAGAACTTTCTGTGATAATGAAAATATTCTGTACCTTCACTCTCCACTATGCTATATGTGGAGTCATATGTGACTATTGAGCCCTTGAAATGTGACTAGTAAAACGGAAGAACTGAATATTTAGTTTAATTTTAATTTGAATAAACACATTCAGCTAGTGGCTACCCTATTCTTAACATCACTGCTTGCATATTAGATATTTACTTATTATCTGCTTTGCTTTACTTCAAGTAGAATATAAACTCTGAGAAAGTAAGAATTTTTTGCTTTACTCACTGTCCTATCCCTAGGACCTGTAACCATGGCTGGCACGTAGTAGGTTCTCAGTAGAGGTTTGTTAAATCGATCAATCAATAAATAAATAAATGAGGAACTAAGGCCTCCCAAAGTGAGTTCTCCTTCCTTTGCTTTTTGCTTACCCCTCCCACCCCCCAACATCCACACCACACCACTGCTTTTAACTTAATAATAGCTGAGAGATAAAGCCAAAGTCACATACCAGTGACTTTTACCAGTGTAACAGTAATAGAAAGCCTGGTTTCTTTCCCTTTCACCTCGTTTCTGCCTCTTTAGAATTTCACATATGGCTAGTCTTCCTCATGGAGCTGTAAAAAAGGATGGACAAGGAACCTGTTGCAAGCTGATAAGAAGTATCACTATGTAGTGGAGAACAGTCTAGGATGAAAGTCTTGAGGCTTTAATTTTGGTTCTCCTGACGTCTAGTTTAGCATGTATTTTACTTCAGCTACATTTAACATCCATCAAGACACAAATCCTCCCTGGGTTTCATTTTTTTAATTTATAAAAAGAGAACCATAATACATTTCGTGATTTTATATATGGTATGGTGGATTTTATATATGGTATATGGTATTCTTTGTGTACATGACATACTTAAATGGCTTTTAGCTTTCTTTAAATCCCATGGTGAATCATTTTGTAAAATAAGTAAGTTTGGGGATATGTGTCAGGGGGTGTTCTTTAAAAGTTAAGTATACCTTTTGATTGTTTTTAAAGACCTAGAATCTTAACATTTATACATGGTTTCCTTGTTCATAATCTAACTCTCTTCCTGCTGGTTAGTGCCAAGCCTGTCTTGATAAAAAAGGTGATTTTTAATAATGCTAATTTTAGGAGCAACAGAAGCTTCTCTTGGACTTCACATGAACCACAGAGGTGCTACAACTGATACGATAATTATCATAAATTCACAAGGACTCAAATATATCCTAGTTTTCTTTATATTATTGGGACAGAGAGTGAGAGTGATTCTTACGTACTTCGTTTGTGTGTAGAAGAAAATGGAGAAACTTTGGACTTACAAGACCTGATGTTTAACTGTGTGGTCTTGGGCAAGTCTGTCACTTTCTGGACCTTAGTTTATGTAACAGAGTCATTGTGAGGATTAAATGACAAGTGTATGAATAGGATTTGCCAACTATTTAAGAGAAACCAGAACAGGATAGTCTATGTCTTGGGAATTGTGGATAGCAGACATTCAGTTGAGGTCTGTTGAATATATGACCTGATTACATATTTTTGGATCCCGGTGATGAGAGAAACAATCTGAATCCACATAGGGCCTTTCTTTGAATCCAGATGTCATGTTTTCATTTACAGCATGATAGTGCTTTTGGAAAAAGAACAGGTGTTTGGATCTCCTTTGGTCCCAGGTGTCCTGTTTCTCATCCATTGGGAAATGGATGAACAGTGAAGTAAAAAAAAACTTGTTCAGGTGACGAATGGATAGCTGGTGTAATTAAAACTAGAGTTTAGGTCTTTTATGTTCTCCAAAACACAGATGCTTTACACTTTATTCCTTGCATTTAATGAGATCTTATTGCCAACATACTCATTTTTAGGACTGCACATAGTCTTGATCTTCAATCCTGAAACTTTATTATGAATGCAAATTAGAAAGACCTATTGTTGGGGTGCTTGGGTGGTTCAGTCAGTTTGATGGCTGTCTTCAGCTCAGGTCATGATCCCAGGGCCTGGGATCAAGCCCCACATTGGGCTCCCTGTTCAGCAGGGAGCCTGCTTCTCCCTCTCCTGATGCCCCTCCTCCAGCCTGTGCGTGTGCGCACGCTCTGTCTCTCTCTCTCTCTCTCTCACTCTGTTTCTCAAATAAATAAATATTTAAAAAACGTAAAAAAGGGAAAGACCTATTTTTGAAATGCGTAGGAGTGTGTGTGTGTGTATCAGTAACCAGGTCATTGGCTGTAAAATCCAAAACGACTGTCTACATTGTCATAAGATAAACCTAACTAAATGGATATGCCTTAGACTGTTAGATCACATTTTTCTGAGGATAGCTGTAAAGGAAAAACACTTTTGCAAACCTAGATCTTTCCAGTAATGATCGCAAAAGTTACTTAATTCAAAAATTTTTTGTAGATTTTAGTGTTAGATCATAAATAAGATAGGTCTTATTGTACCTTTAATTTAGCACATTGAGACTTAATATAAAAGTAGGCTACATTCAGCCAGAGGTGTACTTTGTAATCACCTGAGGATTGTTTCCCAAAATTCACATGCCCTAGGCCTTGATCGCTTCCTGTTGAATCAGAAACTCCTGTGTACCCTTTAACTCATGTATACCCTTTAAGAACCGTTGGGTTAAGCTGAAGAAGTAGCAGAGATACTGCTAAATATAAACTACCTAAAGATTTAATAATAGCAAAGGAAGAGACTTGAAAACTACTCCTAGGGAAAAATAGGTGTATGATGGTAGTGACTCTAGGCACTTTATTCTGTCTTATGACTTTTTTTTTTTTTTAACTGCAAGAGAAACTAGAGAAACCGAGAACCTGCTTAAAAATGTAAAGAGGAAATGGCAGCAAGTATCTTTCTGACTTTAGGAGTCAGAAGGAACCTTGAGAACTCAGTCTAGGGATTAAAATTGTTGAAAGAAAATGAAAGGACAAGGACTGAGCAGTGAGGATACTCTATTTACTGTTTAATAGAACTTAATAGTTGTTTAAAATGTGCTGATTTCACATACACACACCTAATTATGTATGAAAATATCCCACGAAAATCCAGAAAAAGTGTCATTTCTTACTATTCAAACTTTTATTCATTCAATAGATATTTATTGTTAAATACTAGAAAATGCTGGCATGAGAAAGACAGGGTCTCTTCTGTCAAGAACTTTACATCCACATATATAACCAAGAGTTTTACATCCAGAGGCTTTCAGGAGTAGCCCCTCCTGATACATAGTTAGTGGCAGAAGAAGTAACAGTGGTATGGATTGCTGTCTCTTACAGTGTGGGGTGGCTTCATTTCTGCTTACGTTCCTGCTCAATCCTTTCCTTAAGTGTATTCTTCCTTTGAGCCTTTTAGAAAAGAGAGTTCAGATGTTTGTATTGTTGGTGAGGTTTATCTTTTCTTAAACCACTTGCAGGGATTAATAGCTAAATGAAGAAGCACTTTCATTGGGCCTGAAGAGTTGGCTAGCCCAAATGACTTACCATTTTAAGCATTGTTCTCTGTCTTCCGGGATAGGGACTGGGGGTGGGGGTAGGTCTTGGTCTCGAGAGAAGCCTGGTACTGATTGACTTAAACCAGCAACCCTATCCTCTACTACTTTCCTTTTTTGATTTCTAAATGGATTTCATTTTTTCCCCTGGGGTCAAAGTGAGTAACTTTACACAGGAAGTGTCTTGGATACAGAGCTGACCTTCTGCCTTCCACTTTGTGGATCTTTGCCAAACATACTTGAATCAGCAAGGAGGGCTTTGCAAATCTCTTCTCTTGAATATCTGTAAAAATGAACTGCCCTAGCCTTTTTGGGAAGATATTTTTTAGTAAATAAATATATATAGTTTTTAACAAAGACTTCTGAAGATTAAAAAATGTACTGGATTGAACAGTTTGGGTGATGGTTTTTTAGTTAGACAAAACTAGAGTTTAAAACTGTAGGTTTTTATTCTAAACCACAGTTTAGAATTAATGTACTTGGGTGAGATTCATTTCCAGTGGTCTTAATTCCCTAAATCCCTAGGTCTGGCATGATGTTTGAAATCTAATTTTCTAATATAAAATTTTTTTTGTAGGTTTACTCTGTGAATGAATAATTCCTGAAGAATGAAGAAGATTCAGTAGTTGTGAGAATTCTTTGAGGAACTTTGATAAATGGAAAAAGTATTTATAATTTATTAAAAAAAAGGAAATATCTCTGGTCAGAAGTCTTAAGGTGTGTTTCTTTTTGTGTTCCTCACATCCTTACGTGGCATTTATTTATTTTTCTTTAAGGATATAGTATTAAAAAAAATCTTAAAATATTATTTTCTTCTGTTGTGTCATTCTGGGAACTCTAGATATTTGTTGTAAGGAGAAAGCAGGTACTGATCTCACTCAGTGAAATCTCCAAAATAAAGTGCATAGAAGTAAGGAAATAACCGAGTTGAGAATAGGAATGGTAGCCATATCATCTCATTCAGTGTTTTTGTTTTTTATTTTTAACTTACTTAAAGGCAAGAACTGGACAAACTTTCAGTCTTAATATTTTATATCATTATTGTTACTCTTCACTAGTTCTCTCTTTGGGGTAAGTTATTTGTTTAGATTTTGGACCACATTTAGGTGCCTTGGCTTGGAAGATCTTAACTGTATGGCATAATTAATCTGTAGATGTCTAGTTGCATTTTAAGATAAACTAGGATCTTTAGTTTAATGCCTTCTGGCCAGATAATTGTCTCTTATTGATTAGAAGATGGCCCAGACCAGAGGCTGGACAAGGACAGATAAGTTACCAATGAAATAGCTCAGTGCTCTGCTACAGAGTGATACCTGGGGTAGAACATAGAGTGGGGTTTGCTTACTATAGCAACCCCACGGTCCTGTTAATGGGCTAATGAAACAAGGTTGTATTCTGCCTGAAGTAAATTGAGTTTCAAATCTCAACAAAAAATACCGGAGAACATAAGAGAATATGTGGTGTCCATACGTCATTCTGTGATGGGAAAATTGCCTCTTTTATAAAATAAAGGAGCTGAATTAAGTTTTTCCTTAGGATTCCTTCTAGTTAATTAACAGCATGGCTTTGAAATATGACAGACTTAGGTTCAACAGGTCACAACCTCTTTCAGTCTGTTTTTTTCATCTGAAAGAAAAAAAGCAAGGATAGAGGTAATACTGTACAGGATTGTGACTACTACTTAAAATGGTGTATATACTATGGATTTGGCATAGTATCTAGCATTTAATGTTGATTAACATTCTCTAATTCTTTGATTTTATACTCATATTTCCCCTGAATATTTGTTTGGATATAATACGTTCAGGAGGTATTTTATAGCTTTCAGAGTATTCTTCTAGGTGAAGAATAGAATCTTGGACTGCTAAGACAGATAAAAATCAACTTCCCACCAAACACCCAGTCCTTGGCAGATGGTCATCCAGATTCTGCTTGAATTTGCCATGAACTACAAAAAGGGGGGGGGAAATTTATAAACTTACCACCCAGTGTTAATTTTTGCTGTGTGCTGTTCCAAACTTTTCTTATATATTTATACATGTTTTAAAATAATAAATGAGGTCATTTTTCTGTGCTATATATTTTTAATGAAATCATAATATTACTTTTCCCCCTTGATGTATTTTACCAGCTGTGATTATAGTCCTCATATGTATGACTCTATTCTGAGCTTACTATAATTTAACCAATTCCCTATTGTTTGTACCATCATTCATTCAACAAAATGCTTTGTAGAATGCTTGCTATATGTCAGATACCATTTGTGGAATTGAGTATCGGTCTTAAACAGGACATATACCTGACGCCTAAATTATTTCTGATTTTTTTGGTGGTTGGTTTTATGGAAACATATAAGGAAGAAAGGAAGAAATCACCTGAAATCCTACCAGTGTACAATAGGACAACTTTTTGGTGACTTTGCCATTCATCCCTTTCTGCATGTATATACTTTATTATTTTGGGGGGGGGCACTTCATAATAACACTGCACTGGAAGTTTCCATAGGAATTTCTTTACAGATCCCTTACTAATCACTTAGCTAAGGATGGGCCAGAGGCTATGCATGTTTTCAAGGCTTTGGATAAGTATTGCCAGACTGATCTCTAGAGGGGGGTTACCCATTGCACTTTTGTATCTGGGGGTGTCTATTTCCCTAAGCTCTTAGCAAGGTTAGTTTTTTCAGGCTTTGCCAGTTTGATATGTTCACATATGTAAAGGAAACAAAGTGCCCTTCTTAACATCTGCCATAGTTAAAAATATATCTCATAAGACCCTCTGCCCACCCTTCCCTAGTGCTTAAGCCTTCCCAAAAATTATGCATAACATTTTGATACTAGTAATAGTAAGAAATGTTACCACAGTAATTTGAAAAATGAAAAAGTTCACTTCCTAATAGGTGACCACCACATTCTGACATACATCTTTGCTAAGCCCTTGATATTCACAGTAATTCCCAAACAATACAGACACAGTCACACCATTCTTCCTAATCATTTATTTTTGTCTAACCTTAAAACATTTGACTGAAAGGTGGATAAGAATAGGACCATGAGGATGCCTGGGTGGCTCAGTTGGTTAAGTATCTGGCCTTTGGCCCAGGTCATGCTTGCAGGGTCCTGGAATCAAGTGCCCCATTGGTCTCCCTACTCGGCAAGGAGTCTGCTTCTCCCTCTCACTTTGCCCCTCCCCCCTGCTCACACCCTCTTTTTCTCTCTCTCAGCTAAATAAAATCGTAAAAAAACATACAGGACCAGGACCCTAAGTAAGGCCTACTTTAGGATAACTGTATGTTTCATTGGTCTGATGTGAGGCTGCTGAAGAACCATAATCCCCATTTTACAGGTGAGCGGTATTCAGTTTAAGGAAATCACTGTGGTCAAATAGCTGGTGACCTGGAATGTGAGTCTTGGTCAGTAGAGTTCAAGCTGAATGTTCTTTCCTGTACCAAATATCTAATATAAACATCACATTCATAGTTATTCATGCAGTTCATATCTAGTAAAGGCCTGTTACATGCAAGTAACTGCCCTAGGTGTCGAATATTCATGTGTAGATCAGACCTGCATCTTGCACTCAAGGAGATGAAAGGCTATTTGACTCAACATCTACTCGGGACATAATATATGCCTAATTCTATGCTAAGAAGTGAGCAAAGATGTAAGATATAGTCTTACTCTAAGCTTCTCAGCTTATAATCTAGTACCTATATGTATATAAACTGTGAACATACAAAGTTGAATACTCAGTACTATGATGAATATTCCAAGATACAAGATACTTTCCTAAAACAAGTGCATGTGTGACTACCCAGGGTTTCCTGTAGCTATCAAAAACTGCTAGCTGGTAGTTCCATCTCTGTCGATTATGGTGATTTTGAAAGCAAGTAATAGAAAATCCTCACCAAGCAAAACTCATATGTCTGGAAATCCAGAGTTAGGGCAAGCTCTAGATGCAATGATGTCATAGGTTCAATGATATTATCCAAGAATCCAAGTTGTTTTCATCTCAGAGCTCTTTCTTCCGGGACTGATGAAACCATGTACTTTCTTGTTCAAGTCCAGAGAAAGCATTCCCAAGACATGAAATCCCTTTTTTTAAAAGTCTGATTGATACAAATTAGGTTATATGTATTTTTATGGACCAGTAATAGTTGCTGAACAGAGCACCTTATGCAGATTGGCTTAAACAGGACCCCTTCCCCCCACCCTTGGATCCATTTGTAATTACAGTTATCAGCACAAAACTGGAATTCTGTAACAAGGAGGGAGGGATAAATAGACTGAGTAGGCAATCAATTTTCTACCTTGTTCACTTAACAACTAAGTCATCCTAAGTGGCCAAATTGAGTTTTAAAAGGAGCATCTCCTCTCATAGTTTACTCAAACTTTTGAGAGAAACATATTAGTAGAGCACAGTAAATTGGCTGATGTTAAGTTTTCATAGAATAAAACAATCAGCAGATGTTCAGAGAACTGTTTCCTGAAGAGTGGGCCTTCTGGAGATCCCAAGGGAGATCTGAGTTCAGAAGCATTCACCTGCAAGTACCAGAATGCCTAATTACAGTGCTTAAGCAAGAAATGTAGTTGACGTCCTGTCATGAAGTCTGAAGGTTGAGAGTTCCAGATCCAAGACAGTGGCTCAGTAAAACTTTGGAGAAGTGTGACTTACTCTATTTTTCAGTTCTTTATCCTCTTCCTCCTTAGGTAAGTCATATCTCATGGTAGCTTCAAGCATTACATCACTGCACTACATTGGTCAAGCCAAGATAGTAGCAGGCCTCGCACTGTCAGGAAGTTTTTTTCCCAGAAGCCCCACATACACTTCTTATATCCCGTTAGTCACATGCCCACTCGTAAGGCAGTTGCCACTGAGGGGAATAGGATATTGTGCTTGGCTTTGACCAGTCTTATTTTAGGCTCTGGCAACTGAGGGAAAAGCTCACCTTCCTTAACATATTGTCCAAGCAAAATCACAGTTCCATAAACTAAGAAAAAATGGGGAATGGCTATAGGGCAGACAAACAGTAGTGTCTGCCTAAGGTCAACTTGGCAGTATGCGTCCAAAGCTCAGATCATGCCTCTGTTCTATTTTAATAGATATTAGGAAAGGATTAATCTCAAGCTCAGTGTTTTTCAAACTCTATGTGGTTTACTTTTTTCCAGTTAATAATCACTACTCGGAAGTTGGGGAAAATATAGTTTAAAAAACACATATACTCTACAAGCCCAGTCTTCATTGCATTAAAAGGCCGTAAGTCCCTTTGTCAAATTGCTATAAAAATGTCAATTCTCTCAGTTTCTGTCCTCATCTCATCGTGGACCAGTAATAGCTCACAGACCAGCCATTGTTCACAGAATCCCTTGGAGAGGCAGGTTAGCCAGCTGACTTCATAATCTGGCCCCAACCTGCCTTTCCTACCTCGTGTCCTGCTTTTCCTCCTGATTCACCCACAGTAGGCTGTCCTCTATTACCAGAATATGTCGTGTATTTTTGTTTTACTTCTGGACTTGACTTCACATTCTCTTCTCCTTTCCTGGAATGCCCTCCTCCTAGTTGGGGAACACCTCATCATCTTTTTAGACTGGCTTAAATGTCACCTTCCCTGTGATGTTTTTTTCTGAATTTTTTCTCCCTGATCAGGGCTTTTTTTGACCCCCAAATATATTTATTTAATTGGATTGCAATTATTTCTGGGTCCATCTCCCTCGATAGACCAATAGTTCCTTGAAAGTGACAGTTGTCTTGCTCATCTGTATATCCCCTGTGCTTGCCGCACATACTTTGCCCTAAATAAATGCTTATTGAATTGAATCAACTCAACAAATGGTGTGACGATGTGACTTCTATTTGTTCCCTTTTATTCTCCCCCAATGTTTTCGGGCATCTGGCCGGCTCAGTTGGTAGAGCATGCAACTCTTGATCTCATGGTCATGTTGGGTCTAGAGATTACCTTAAAATTAATTAATTTTTAAAAAAAGAACATACCAGGGGCACCTGGGTGGCTCAGTGGGTTAAAGCCTCTGCCTTCGGCTCGGCTCAGGTCATGGTCCCAGAGTCCTGGGATCAAGCCCCGAATCGGGCTCCCTGCTCAGCGGGGAGTCTGCTTCCTCCTCTCTCTCTCTTCCTGCCTCTCTGCCTACTTGTAATCTGTCAAACAAATAAATAAAAATCTTAAAAAAAAAAAAAAGAACATACCATTTTTACACTTTTTTTGCTGTCCTGTCGAATGTGGTTTTAAAAACAAGCTGCAACTTGGCTCTGTTGTATTCCCATCACAGGTCCCATCCTTCAGGCAACAATGTCATTGTCACTGCAGGCAGCATGTGAGGTTTATACACTGATGATGCCACACACACACAGACACACACATATCCCAGCAGCAGGGTCAAATCCCCTCGAGCAATAAAGGAGCCTATATATGGATACATATAAACTCCCAAAGGTACCTGGCAAGGTGGGACAACACAGAGAACATACGATTTAAATGACCTACACTTTAGTTCACATACTAGCTCTATGACCTTCCTTAGCCTGAGTTTGTTTCTTCCATTTAAAAAAAAAAAAAAGATCCCATAGGATGACATGAGGAAACAATAACTACTTGATAAATGTTAGCATGCTCAGATGAGCACGTATGTGGATTGACAAAGAAGGGAGGCTGGGAATAACAGCGGGTCTGCCTGTCTCTTTAATGGGTCAGGGCGGGGCCATTGGTCAGGCTTGCTGAGAAAGATGACCTGCTTTGAAATTCTAGCCTCCGTTGCTTCTTCTTTCCTGCTTCTGATTTCCTGGCTCACAGCTGGCAGGAATCACCACTCTGGCAGCTCTGGGCGCATGACTAAGGTGGAGGGATGAACAGCTGCTGCTTGCTAAAGTCAGTGGGTTGGTTGGGAGGCAGGCAGGTGACATAAAAGCAGCATATGGAAATCCCCAAACTCTACTGCTCAAATGACATCCAGATCATTGCCATAAGGAAGACTGTGGGCAGGGCCTTTCCTTCTCTAGTTGCTCTCTTTTCCTTTACCACTGATTTTCCCCCCTCAACTTTAGAAAGAAGGGAATAAATTACACATCTGTTGGTCAGTTGATTTTAATTAAAAAAGGCGGGGGCACCTGGGTGGTTCAGTTGGTTAAGCATCTGCCTTGGACTCAGGTCTTGATCTCATGGTCCTGGGATTGAGCCCCGCCTAGGGTTCCCTGCTCAACAGGGAGTCTGCTTCTCCCTCTCTGCACCCCATCCCTTACTCACTTGCTTGTTCCTTCCCCCTCCTCTCTCTCAAATAAATAAACAAAATCTTTAAAAAAAAAGAAAAAAAAAAGGGACGCCTGGGTGGCTCAGTCGGTTAAGCCGCTTCCTTCGGCTCAGGTCATGATCCCAGGATCCTAGGATCCTGCATCCGGCTGGCTCCTTTCTCAGCGGGGAGCCTGCTTCTCTCTCTGCCTCTGCCTGTCACTCCGCCTGCTTGCATTCTCTTTCTCTCTCTCTGACAAATAAATAAATAAAATCTTTAAAAAAAAAGAAAAGAAAGAAAAGAAAAAAAAAAAGAAAAAGCTGGCTTCCTTCAACATGTCATGCATTTTCAAAACTCTGTGATTATGTTCCTGCCGTACTCACCACTAGAAATTCTCTTCTCCCTCTACCTACGTGGTTCATTCAATGCCTATGCCTCAAATCCAGCATTAACTCTTACATCTTCCCTCCTGTACACTACCCTTCCTCCTAGGTGGACACCTGTCCTTAAACTTAACTCAGTCATTGTGCTTCACACACTGAATTGCCATTGTTTTTTGAGGTATCTTTCCCTTGTTAGAGTGAAAGCTCTTAGGAATCTGATTCTCTAAGTGCTTGGCTCATAGTAAGCACCCAGTAAATATTTGTTGAGTTGAAACTTCTACTACTTGGCATATTTGCCCATTTCTAATTTCTGACTATTTTTAGTTAGGTTATCAGCAGTATAATAAAAGTCCCTATGGACTGAGTACTTAAATAGTTCTAGATTGTTACTGAGTAACTCCATACACACCCCTCCCCCAGTAGGAATACTGATAATAAATACTTAATAGCAGCATGGGAAAAAAATCAAGGAGTCATTTGGAAGCCAGAGGGACATGTCTTAATGTTTGCATATTCCAGATTTATTTTTTGATGACCCAAAATAGACCAGGTTCATCCAGAAGTTCCTTGGACATCATCAGATTTCCGGGGGTGGGGTGTGCATGTGTGGGGTTGGGAGTCATAGATCTAGTCTATTTCCACTTCCTGTGCAAACTACTTGGCACACAGTGATGGGTCTGACTTGGGATCAAATCCTGGCTGGACCACTTACTGCCTATGGGAACTTGTTATCTCTATGAGCCTCAGTTTCTTTCAGATCTAGGAGGACAATACTTATTTGGAAGGGTTGTGTGGTGACTAAATATTACATGTGTAAAGTATCTAGAGGTCTGGCACTTGGTAGGTATTTAATAGGTGGCAGTTATTATAATTTGCAAATAATGGATAAGGTGATGGTCTGAGGAATGTATTACCATTGTATAAACTATTACTAGATCCAGACATGCAGGGGCAAGTCAGCTTAGAATTCAAAGAGCTGCTTTGCATAGTCATTTTTGTTTAATGGCTGTCAAATAAAATGCCTAGTGGTGTTTATAATGTGACCTAATAAAGGCCTCTGAGGGTTTTTCCAGTTCTCACTGTTAGGATTTTTTCTTATAATAGTCCCCTACTTTCCTGCTTTGATGTGTCCGCCTACCTCAGGAGAGCCCCTAGCCCTCCCCACAGGCACCCTGACAGTATCCTGACTGAGGCGTTGTGGTAAATTCTGGGCTCACTTTTCCTTTGTTCTCCCCTGCCTGCCTCCCTGGCTCCGAGGTCTTGTCCTCTGGGGAGATAAGTTAAGTGCTCTGCCAGCCTGCCTTTGTGCCTGGCCTGTTTTTTCTCACTGCCAGTACCTCTTGGATTCCAATTCCAAACATGGTATCCATCTGGGGTCACCCTTTCTTCCGGTGCCAAGAGAGACGCATTCCAAATGGAACACAAGTGTGCCTCCCGTGCTGGGCTCTCCTCATTTTGGTTGGGGACAACAGAGCAGGATGTGGCCACTTTATCCCTCACAGCTAAAGTTTTCAGCCCCTGAGTCCTAGCTTTGCCTCGGGACACGTTAGCTTTTCTGCTGAGAGCCAAATGTGAAGACTGTCCTAAGAAACCTGGAGCCGAGTCAGCTCGCCAGAGCTCTGCGGACAGGGCCAGAGCCTTGCTGAAGGAAAGAGAGAGGGGAAAACAAGTTTAAAAATCCTCCATGAAGTGTACTATGCTCTGCCATTTATTCCCAAAGCTACTGGAAGCATTCCTCTCAGGAAAGGTGGGCTTGGTGACGAGAAGCCGGACGTGAGAAGACTCCTGGGAGGACCGATTAATCCATTTTCTGAATTTCCTCTGTGGGGACAGTCTCAGAGCCCTGCAAGGCATTGGGGCGCCCTGAAGATGAGTGCTAACAGCAGCACCATGAGCCAGCTAATCTGGCAGGGCCCCGTGTGCGTTGGCTGGAAGCGGGATCTGGAAGGCGCCATCTACCATCTGGCCAACTGCTTCTTGCTCCTGGGCTTCATGGGGGGCAGCGGGGTGTATGGATGCTTCTACCTCTTCGGCTTCCTGGGCACGGGCTACGTGTGCTGCGTGATGTGGGGTTGGTTGGATGCTTGTGGCCTGGACCTCATCCTCTGGAGCTTCCTGCTGGCAACGGCCTGCCTGCTCCAGCTGGCATACCTGATACACCGGCTGCGCAGGCGCGCCCTCCCCGAGGAGTTCGACGTCCTCTACAAGACGCTGTATCTACCCCTGCAGGTGCCTCTGCAGGTGTACAAGGAGATTGTTCAGTGCTGTGAGGAGCAGGTCTTGACGCTGGCCACTGAGCAGACTTACGCTGTGGAGGGCGAGACCCCCATCAACCGCCTGTCCCTGCTCCTCTCCGGCCGGTAAGCTCCTATGTCACAGCGGGGCGTTTCCTCCCTCGGCCCATGCTTCTCGTTTCCTAGTGTGTCCCTTTCCATTCTGAGGCCCTTCCATTGAGGGAAGGATGTGGCAAGTCAAACAAACAAAAACAGTTGTTTTTTTTTTTTCCCCAAGCGTGGGTTTAGTTCCTCTTTCTTAGCATTTTCCAAGAGGAAACAAGATCATGAGATAGCTTCTCAGTTGGCAGGAAGGACTGTGTGTGTCTTTGGTGCTGGGAGGTGTGGGCTGAGTGTCTCTTGAGCCTGGGTCTAAAATGGCCGCGCACGCGCGCGCACACACACGTATTACACACACCGGTGGGTCATGCGTAAGCTGCCACAATGTCTGTGAGCTTTGAAAAAGTGGACCTTTTAATAAGGTTGATTTGTTCCTTCCAGATGTATTCAGTATTTCCTAAGTGCCAACTATGTGCAGGGAACAGTGAGGGCATTGAGGAAACAGCCCCAGTTATGTTGAGGCTATCCTCTAAGAGTCTGTGGGGAAGCCATATGGTGTACAAGCAGATAGGGAGAGAGAATATTCCCTGTCCCCTTTTCCATTCCCACGTGTTCTGTTGAGATTCTTACAGACCAGTGATCAAGTACCAAAAAGACCACACAGTGAAGGAGAAGTGATGCCCACACGTGTCTCATTGAGGATCTGGTGGAGATACCTGGCTGATTCCTTCAGGCTGGGTGACAACAAAAATGAGCGGAAATGGTCTTAGTCACGATTAGTGTATGCTCAGTCAGCCCACACATGAGTGTTGGCCCTTGGCTGACATCTTCTGAACAAATACCACGGGCTCCATGCTGTCCATTTGGGAGGTGGTTGTGGAATCTTTGAAATATCGCCCTAGTGGGACTTCTGTGTGGGGCTGAGCATCAAACAGTAAACTATGTAACCTGGTTCACTTGGGCTACCTCGGTGGAAAGCAAGCAAAGTATTTCAAAAGCTTGTTCTCAGTTTCCTTCCCTGCTTTTTGGAGACGAGGAGAAGATGATAGAAAAGATAAGGTAGTAATCTTATCAGAAGGCTCTGATTCCCAGGGTGGCAGGGGAAGAAACCAGGTAAGACTGCCAACCACATAGGGGGGAGAAAAAGAAGAGTTTTAGAATGATGATGATGGTACTACAACAACTACTGGTAGCAATAATGTGCATTGCTGTACTACTGTGTAGAATCAACAGTGTTAGGTATACGTGTGATTTTGTTTGGACTCAGAGTCCTGGGTTGAATGATCTATGAGATTTTTGTGGGGAGACATTTCATTTATGAATAAAGTGAAGTGTAAACAAATTGAATTATCTGTAAACAAATACATGTATAAATAGAAGTACATTATGACTGTTGGCAAAATGTTTGCCACCTACAGTTCCATGCTTAAAATAAAAACAATCTGGGATGCCCCGGGTGGCTCAGTCAGTTAAGGTTCAGGTCATGAGGAACCCAGAGAGACTGTGGACTCTGAGAAACAAACTGAGGGTTTTGGAAGGGAGGGGGTGGGGGGATGGATGAGCCTGGTGGGGGTATTAAGGAGGGCACATATTGCATGGAGTACTGAGTGTGGTGTATAAACAGTGAATCTTGGAACACTGAAAAAATAAAAAAAAAAAGTCTCAGGTCATGAGCCCAGGGTCTAGGGATTGAGTCCGCATCAGGCTCCTTGCTCAGTGGGGAGCCTGCTGCTCCCCCTGCTTCTCTGACAAATAAATAAATAAAATTCTTTTAAAAATAAAATATAGACTACTTAAGAAAGATTCTTCTTGGGGCGCCTGGGTGGCTCAGTGGGTTAAGCCTCTGCCTTTGGCTCAGGTCATGATCTCAGGGTCCTGGGATAGAGCCCCGCATCAGGCTCTCTGCTCAGCAGGGAGTCTGCTTCCCCCCTCTTTCTCTCTGCCTGCCTCTCTGCCTACTTGTGATCTCGCTCTCTCTGTCAAATAAATAAAATCTTAAAAAAGAAAAGAAAAGAAATGTTCTTCTTCAGGAGATTCAGGATGTTATTTGTTACCTGTAGCTTGTCCGTTCAAAGGAGCTGAGACAGGTGGGAGAAAGGCCTGCAGCACATGTATGGCTATGATTATTATACGATATTTTAAATCCATTTTTAACATGATGAATTTGCCATGAATTTGTAGAAGACCTCTTCCCTGTGACGGGGAGAGGTGGGTTTGCCTCCTCAATGTGGCTTTCCTGTCTCAACTTTGCTAAGCTGGAGCTGGGAGAAGAGGTTTCCTGTCTGTGACCAGGCTCCAGTTTTAAGGGAGAATCATTGTACCTCAGGCTGGTTCCAGTTGAGGTACCCGACACCTCAGAGCTGTGAAAGAGAACTCTGTGCCAAGAAGTCGGGATTTCTGGTGCAGACCTCCCCCATATCACATGCAGGCTCTCATCTGGAGCCCTTTGCTAAAACCTCAGATGCCCTTTCTGTTTTATTTTAATGTAAGCAACTAGTCCCTTTTAAGACTCAGAAAAGCCAAGTGACTTCCCCAAAGTTTGTCACCTTGTTAAGCTGGGCTTACTGTTGTGTTTCTGTCCTACAGAATTCTCTCGTGCACAGCCTCCTGGACAGGCAGCTAACTGTCTAGGCTATTCAAGTGGGAGGAAATACCTGTCATCCAGGGGTTCAAGAAGGAAGAAGAGGCTTAAATGATAAAAGGCATGATATACCAATTTAAATGGCTTAAGGGAGCCCCGCAGGTTCATTAGATGTTATACTTTAAATGATGTCACTCCTCCTCCTTTGCTCAAGTGGTCAGATCCCTTGCCTGAGGAGCTGGTAAGAGGATCTTGCATATTCAGCAGCAGCCTTGTTTTCTCCTAATGTCTGTCTGTCTTCCTGTATTCAGGAAGCTTTTCCTTGAGATGTTGGTCCCCTTTTATGGTGACACGAGTGAGTTCACACAATCTGTTCAACTCTTCCTTTCTTCTCTCCTTTATCCCTCCATTCCTACCTTCCTTTCTTTCTTTTCCCCTTCCAAAAATATTTATTAAAAGCACTAGGGACTAAGGATCCAGTGTTAAAATATGAAAAATACTGTTCTTGCTGTCTATCAAGAAAATCAATAATGTTTGACATAGTGGTGAATCACAGCATGATATTTCCAAGGAGAAACATAAGTGCACTCAGAGCATGTACCCGATGGAGCTACTTTTCTGGGGGAGGTCAACAAAACTTCCTGGAAGAAAGAATGTTTAGGCTGAGACCTGAGGAGAAGGTGGAGGTTGGGAGGAGATCCAGCCAGAGGGGACAGACTATGTGGAGAACCTGAGGTAGGAGAGCCTGGCACTTCATTTTCTCTTGTATCTTTTTATGACTCGGGGAAGTTCTGCCTGGCTGTCTCTCTAGATTACTTGGTCTTGTAGGAGCACCTGTGTCTCTCCCATGGGGTACTATGGGCTGACACCCCATCCATGGCTTGGCGTGAGAACTACATCCCCTTCTATCTTCCATCTTTAGGTTGTCAGACAAAAGGCAACAGCTTATTGGCAAAGTTCTTAGGTAATTTGTGTGCCTGCGTATACGCAGGCATTCATTAGGAGCAAGATTTGGAGCGCTAATGTCCCATTTGGCCAGAACTTAATCACGTGGCTATACCTACCTGCAAGGGAGGTAGGGAAATGCGGTCTAGCCGAGCAAGCCCCGCTAAAACTCTGGCACTGTGGAGGAAAGGAAAGAGCAGATAGGGGAAAACAGACTACCACACCGCCATCTGTCCCTAGCCTCATCGACTTCCCAGCATCCTGTTCGTTTTTCAAAAGTCAGCTCAGGTGTCATCTTTGAGAAGTCTACCACCTGAAGAGAACTAATCTCTCTCCCTCCTCTATTCTCCCATTTCATAAGACCACACATGGACTTATAGCCAGTTATGGACACGTCTGTGATTTCCACTAAACTGTGAAATCCTTAAAGGCAAGGATCAGCTCATACCCATCTCTGCTTTTCCAGATCTCCAGGACCCCAGGAGGTACTCATGCATACGCATTTAGCCAGTAAAGCTCCAGAAAAAAATGGAACAATAGCTCCTTCCCCATGGACAGAGTGTACCTCAGAGATCTCTTTGTCTGATCCCCCTTTGTTTGACAGAGACACCTCCTTTCCTGGTATAACTCAACCTTAGGGAGAGCTTGAAGCTGAAACTGAGTTTTCTGGGGGAAAGAGGAAAAACCCATATTGGATCTTAATCATTTTCCATTTTTATTTTTTATTATTTTTTAAAGATTTTATTTATTTATTTATTTATTTGACAGAGAGAGACACAGTGAGAGAGGGAACACAAGCAGGGGGAGTGGGAGAGGGAAGAGCAGGCTTCCTGCCAAGCAGGGACCCCGACGTGGGGCTCCATCGAAGGACCCTGGGATCAGGACCTGAGCCCAAGGCAGATGTTTAATGACTGAGCCACCCAGATGCCTCCTATTTTCCATTTTTAAATACATAATTTGGATGGAGGAGGGTTTGGGTGGCCACTTCCCTTTCTCCACACAGTCTCTTCTCTCCCTTTGCCAGGGTTCGTGTGAGCCAGGATGGGCAGTTTCTTCACTACATCTTCCCCTACCAGTTCATGGACTCTCCAGAGTGGGAATCTCTGCAGCCGTCTGAGGAGGGTGTGTTCCAGGTAATGGGGAGCCAGTGCCGGGACCGCCCCACCCTCTCCCACTGTGACCCAGGAATATGCCCCCCTCCATCCTTCCCCACTCACATCTGTTCTTTGAACCACTGCCAACGTGATGCTAGGGGTGGGAGCGCTGAAAGAGGGCCAGGGCTGCGGGCAGGTGGGGGCGGGGGGAGGTACTAATCCCCGAGAGGCCATGTCACTCCTATGCCTAAAACTCGTGAAGACCACTGTGACCACAAAATAAAAACCCACACCCCTTAGAGAGTAACCTAAGACCTTTAGTGACATCTAGCCACATCTCCAGCCCCTTCCTCCTTCACACTTTTTGCTCAGACCAGCCATATGGAACAGAACAACTAGCACTTCCCTAAATACATCCCCCTTTTTTTGCAAGGGCCACGCTTGGCCCCTCCTGTACCTTCTACCTGAAACGCATTTCCCCCCTGTAAATGAGGTGATGGTATCTTAACTTCCCCTGAAGCTTGCCCAGATTGACCTCATGGGCTTCGAATCCCCACAGCTTCATGTTCCTGTCTGTGGGCCTTTCTATTCCTTCTACTTATGCTGACTGGGACACATTGCTCTCTGCTCTAACGATTTGGTTTCGTTTCCTAACTCTTTGAGGTAGAAATCTGGGCTTCCTCTTCTCTCTGTTCCCAGGGTCCAAAGGACAGTACCCTGAACACAGTGGGTGTTCAACAAAGCTTTGCCAAACTGGCTTGGCAGAGGGCAGTTGGTGCCTCAGGGAACTCTGCGGGGCAGTCACAGACTTACTCCATGGTGGGGGCCTGGTTGCTTGGCCCCTGCTCTCTTCTCTGCCAGTCCTTCAAACCTCAGTTCCTTGCTTTGTAGCTCTCACTTACTGACTGGCTAGTATGTGTCAGGCGCTAAATATTATATTGCCTTACTGATTCTCACCTCTGGGGTGGATATTATCATTTTCCCATTTAACAGATAAGGACGTTGAGGCTGCAAAACATCAAGCAGTTTGCCCAAGGTCTTCATTCAGAAAGTGGCAAAGTGAAGCTGCCTGGCTCTGCTATTACTATTCTTTTTGAAAACGAGTGGGGCACCAAGAGAGTGAAGTACACACGCACATACACACGCAGAGAAACACACACACACACATACCCTATTACAGGGACTTCCCTGTCCAGATAGTTCACTACTACTGGGTTCCATGTGAATTTTACCACTTCTGTCGGGGACTCCCTCAAGCTAGTATATGAGCTAACTCCAGAATAGACACCTGCCAGGAAGGGTCACCTGGCTGGGCCTGTTTCTGCCCCAGCCTGACTCCTGGTCCTGGGAGGACAGACCCTGAGAGGCAATCCCTATCTCACTGCTGGGCCAGCAACCATAGGCCTCCACTGATCGTGCTCCCCTTCCACCACGCACATCCCCACCGTCTCCAACCAGCCGAGCAGCCTTCTGTGAGAACTCCTTCAGGCCCCTAAGAACCTCCGGGAGGGCAGAGTCAGGTCCTGAGCCAGCCAGACCAGCCTCTGTTCCTGACACTGACACCGAGGAACAGGTGGGGGATAAGCCGGGTGTCCTCCCCTAAGCTCTGCTTGAAAGGAGAGACTATAACCCCAGATGGCCTCTCAGCTTGGAATGTAGCTACTGTCAGATTCCTCCCGTTTATATTTTTAGTGCGCACCTCCTTTGGGAGCAATGAGATCCACACGTTCGCTATTGGCTCTGTAAAGTCCCATTTCCTCTTTGCAAATGTCAGGCGTTGTCCTGAGTTATAGTTCATGCTGTCCTTGCCTTTGTGAACTAATGGGCAATCCACAGTGACCGAACCATAATTCTCATTGTGTTTACCACTAATGAATCAATGTTCCATCACACCTCTCAGCAATCCAATTAAATAAGAATTTATGGGCTATTCAGCACTGGGACCCTCTCGTTAGTCACCAAGAACATAGCATAGAAGGTATCGCACAGAAATCGCACAATTTACGTCATGCCTTACTGGACCCAAGCCCTCTTTCCATATGTTACTTCATTTAACCCACTTAACAAGACTCTGAAATGAGAATTAGACAAAAAAGTTATCAAAACTTTATTATAGACAAATGCATATATATATATATATATATGGGAACCAGGCAATAAGCAGGCTTCTTGAAGACCTTTGAGGAAGGATTTCATACAGGACCTGTGAAAGTGACATTCAGTTGTTTTGCAGCATATAAGATTGGTGGTCTTTACCCGACTCATTCATTCACTTCAGTAATGTTTACTGAACATTTATTATATACAAGGTGCTGTTAAAGTGCTTGGGATGTATCAGTGAACAGTACAGAGGAAGTTCCCTGCCTTCATGTAATTTGCATTCTAGTGAGGGAAGATAAAAAAAAAAAGCCATAGACATAATGAATAATTATGTAATATATTAAAAGATAATGAGGACTAGTTAAAAAAAAATAGAGTGGTATACGGAAGGTCTCATTGCAATTTTAAATAGGGTGATCACAGAAGTCTTTGTTGAGCAGGTGACATTTGAGCAAAGACCTGAGAGAGATGATAGTGTGAGCTCTGAGAAGCTGAGGGCATAGCATATTAGACAGAGAGAAGAGCCAGTGCAAAGGCCCTGTGGTGGAAGGGACTAGCATGTGTGAGGTACAGAAAGGAGGCCTGGAACAGAGAGAGGACAGGGGGAGAATAGCTGGAGAGGAAGTCAAAGATGGGATGAGGAATCACATCATGTAGGGCTGGTGCATAAGTCTAAATAGAGCCAAAAGTGTTTCCTATAATGTGTTGGATGTAGTGTGTGAGAGAGAAAAAAGATCAAGGAGGACTCTAAAGCTTTTGGTCTGAGCAACTGGTAAGACGGAGCTGCACCTCAGTGGGGAGCCTGCTTCTCCCTCTACCTCTGCTGACCCCCACTGGAGCTCTCTCTCTCAAATAAATAAATAAAATCTTTTTAAAAATTTAAGAAGTTATTGTGGTCAATCCGATTATTAAAAATTGTGTGATTTGGGGCCGCCTATATGGCTCCGGTGGTTAAACATCTGACTTTGGCTCAGGTCATGATCCCAGGGTCCTTGGATCAGGTCCTACATCTGGCTTCCTGGTCAGTGGGGAGCCTGCTTCCCCCTCTACTTACTGCTCCCCATGATTGTGCTCTCTCTCTCTCTCTCTCTCTCACTCTCTCTTTCTGACAAAATCTTTAAAAATTGTGTATTCTACACCCTGGTCCTTTACTATCCAGGCACATTTCTAGTATAACCCTAGCTTTACCACCCATCATTGCTTTAACAAGGATTTATCAAGCACCTGCTCATACCAGGCACATTGCCTAGCCTGCAAGTGTAATTTAGCTTTGTGTCGTGTGCCCGTAGCAAGTGCTCAGAAATCCCTAGGTGGCTAAATAAATGGAGAGTGGGGTGCCCTCGACTTTCTGCTCCTCAGATCTCCTCTTCCTTCATGCCCTTCCTCTGAGCTTAGCCATCAGATCTCTTTGATGAGTTGTTGTGGCCGTGTCAAGAGCGGCTTCCTGGGCCTGAATTCCAGGCCGGCATTCTGCCACGTGACGCAGCCTGGCCTGCCTAATCAGAAGCTCCTCTGTAACTGACTTGCTTTCCAACCCGTCCTTAATCCCTCTTGCAATATATTTGTCTTTCTTTATTCTCAAAACAAACTGTCATCACATGTCAGCCTATCTTCAGAGCAGTAGGAGGCCCCGTCTTTCTCACGAGATCCCAACAGACTCAGAATCTCCCTTCGCTGTTAACGGTATCAGCCATGGGACCACAGAATGTGAGAGCTGAGGAGACTGGGCCTGGAGGCTGAGGCTCCAAGGGGGTGAAGGCCCCTGGGTGAGTGGGTGAGTGAGTGGATGGCTGGACCCAGGCCTCCTGACAAAGCCCCCCTCCACATCACAAGTAAAAGTCATTCTCCGGACCTCCTTCAGGCAAGGCCATGGCGGGCGCTGCCACAATTTCTTTAACAAAAGTAAAGCTGTTTTTTGAGTAACTCTATGTTTCTCTGTGCTAAGCATGGACACATAGTCTAATTCAAACCTTCACTCTCTTCTCCGGACCCCCCTCAGGTCACTCTGACTGCTGAGACCCCATGTAGCTACATTTCCTGGCCCCGGAAAAGTCTCTACCTTCTATTGACCAAAGAGCGATACATTTCCCAACTCTTCTCAGCCCTGCTGGGCTATGACATCTCAGAGAAGCTCTACGCTCTCAATGACAAGCTCTTTGCCAAGTTTGGGCTGCGCTTCGACATACGTCTCCCCAGCCTCTACCATGTCCTGGGTCCCGCAGCCTCGGATACAGGGCCTGAGTCCGAGAAGGATGACGAGGAAGCCCGTGAACCAGCCTTGCCCACATCTGCCCAGCAAACACCCCCTCGCTCTCCTCTTCCAATGGCCACCAGCCCTCCTGCACCTCCTTCCCGGGCCAGGTTGTCCCGGCCCGACAGCGGCATCCTGGGTGAGGACTCCACCAGTCTGGTGCTGGAGGATTTTGAGGAGGTGTCGGGATCAGAATCGTTCATGGATTATAGGAGTGATGGGGAGTACATGAGGTGAGGGAGAACTAACACGGGCATGGCCACCCGGCTCAGGATCCTGTGTAAGTACTCAGAAGACAGCTGGCACGCCTTCCTGCCAACAGTTGGCCTCCACTTGGCTTGTAAGGGCACAAAAACTCTCACAGAGCCTGTCCTCTCAGAGGACTCCCAGAAAGTGGCACTAACCCAACCTTGCAGTAGCAGCTCACTCCAGGTGCATGCAAGGCATGAGGGGATTTTTTTTTTTTGATTCATTTTTTATTAAGTGTGATTGCATTTTGGAAAATGGGCTTGTTGACGTTTTAAGCAATCAAATGATTGCAAAACTGTGAGTTTGTGCAGCGTTAAGGCCATAGAGAGTGAGGGCTAAATGAGATTTTATTTGTGGCATGTGTTTTAAATGGGGGGGGGAAGCTGACATGGTTCTAATTCCTATCAGTTCTTCCTAGTGTAGAGGCAGCTCTGAAAGCAATACTGCTTGGATTGGCAGCTAGCTCTGAAAATCGCAAATTTTAAAGAGGTTTGTGATAGAGGCTGATAACCCTGGGAGGAAAATGTCCCACCTTACTCTCGTCTTGCCCCGTGGAGAGACCTTGCTTATTCAGGCAGACAAATGGATGCTGCTCTGTTACTATGATCATACGGGTATACAGCAGCCTGGCCTTCCCCCAACCTGTGTGAGGTGGATGGGCACAAATGTGGGAGGACCTAACAGAAAGGGCAGGATTTCCCTCACAGCTCAGGAGAATGTACAAGAAAGGCTATATGGAGTAGTTCTGGGAAATGGTTGCTCTCACATTGCTGTGACATTTTCCTCTGGGACTCCACCTAGCCATGGCGGAGGCCTGGCTTTTCCTGAGGAAAATCCCACTATTGCCAGTTGGGAAGACATTTCCAAGTGTGTGTGTGATGCAGGGGCCTAAGAGACCCGTCCTCCTTTGGGAAGCACTGACAAATTTTTTAAAAGAAACTAGCCTAGGGAGGAAGGTTTCTAAGGTACACAAGGTGAATGAGTGAATGTATAGTTTGTAAGAACAAGTTATGTAAACGGTGAAAGAGGCTGGGGAGGCAAATGGTAAAAGTTAAATGTCTTGTTTTATAGACATGAATTTGTCATCTCCTGTAGTGCTAATGTCCCAAGAACCACAGATTCCATGGATCTATCCAGGACCCGAGATCACTCATTGACTTCCTCCATTTGCACTGGTCACTGTCCTACTTGTCCACTGTGCTGATATTCGCCACCTTTCTTGTCCACCCCCATCCCTGCATGTGAGTCCTGCCCTGTGGAGCCCTGTCCTTGTCCAGCGCGCCTGCGCATCTGTGTACACTCTTCACTCCTGGCGGCTCTTGGTACTCGCGTGTTTCTCCTGGTTTCTTCTCTTTTCCTGGTTCTGTTTGCTCTTCTCTCTTTCCTCTTTCTGACTTCTGCTTAGTCCCTGGTTGCCTCCATCCGCTGCTCAGAAGAAAAAAAGTCCTTTCTTCCCCTCCTCCTCCTTCTTCTTAGGTAATTTCTCCTCCCAATATCTGTCCCTTACATTTTCCCCATTTTATCATTCCTGTATTTCTCTACTACCTTCTTTTCCTCCCCCCCGACTTTCCTGCCTTGTTCTCTCTCCAAAATTACCCTGCACCCCCATCTTTGTATTTAATCCATACTCTTCCAAGATCCATACCTCTCCCTCTGCTACAGATAAAACCATTTGAGTGAAGGTGTGAACATTCCCAGCTGTAGGTGGCTACACACTGCCGGCATGAGTTTTCCCAGACATTAGAAAGCAGCATGATAAACAGAAAGAGAGCCAGACTAGGCACCTGCAGTCCTGCCTGGCTTCTGTGTCTGGGCCTGCTACTTTTTACAAACCACACAACCTCACCACACCTCACTTTCTGCGTTTGAGTGTGTTGGACCAGCTGGACCCCAAAGGTCTTAGTGGATTTACGTAAGAGGGCAATGGATGAGTTGTTTCTCTGAGGAAAATAGAAACAGGCAGCAGTATAAGGGACATAGGCCGCAGGGCTTCCGAGTGTCTTTCAGCAAGAACCCTCTGCCGTATTTCACTACAACTTCTCTTTTGACTTGGGACTGTCCTCCTTGCTGAATGATGGGTCCTGCTTGATTAGAAGTCCCCTCCGTGCTGCATGAAGAGCCTACCCCCTACAGATGTTCTAAGTGAAAGAAGGTCACCGTTCAGTCTCCAAGCCCCTCCGCCCTTAAGACTCCCACACGAAATACCCTTTTGCCAATCCAGCTTTTTCTGAACCTTGAGAAAACTGCTCATATAACCAACTTTCTAAAGTATTGGTATTGGCAGTGTGAAGAGAGTAGGCTTTTTAATGTTTGTTTATTTAGGTAATAGAAAGGGGGAAAAACATTATTTATTTCCAAACTACAGAATTTTGAGAACAACTTGAAAACCTGGTCAAGTTGTACAAATTTCAGATGGCTTTCCATTCAGTCATGGGATCCTTTTCTGGAATTGTGTTGTGGGGTGCTTGGTTTGACTTAATTTGCCATCAGAACCCTTCTAGGGCTATTCCTTTACTGAGTAAGCAGAGTCCCTTGTGATAAGTAGCAATTTACTACTGTGTCCTTTATAACACAGGGCACAACTCACCCTCTGTGCCTGGGCCCTTACCAGCATTGTAAGCTCAGTGCTCTTCATCCTGGCACAGCACTTATGTAAGAGGCAGGAAGCTGGCTGCATTGGGGCTCATTGAGAATGACAGGGTTTCATCACATTGACACAGTGCTTGTCCCTCACACCAGGACTGGCTAAAAATAGTCCGGCTTCCATTAGAGCTCTCTTCGGAAGACAGTGCATCTTTTAGTCTCGTGGTGCCCAGAACTGAATGTTGCTTTTCTTAATGGCACAGCAGCGCTGCACCATAAGGCACTCATGCAGGGTCTTCCAGTCAGACCTCACCTTAACCCGGCCTTCATGACACACTTGGGTTCTGTGGACACTCTCCAGAATGTTCCATTAAGTGTCTTCCTTACAGGAGATGCTCAGTGAATGCAACTCTGGAGTGAGCAAAGAAGTCAGATAGTTTGTGTCTGCTGGCACAAATTAATTGAACACTGTTTGAATTTTGGCCAATTTTGATTATGTTTTCAAGTTATTCTGAAAACTCTGTGATTTGAAGGTAGAAACCATATGTTGCTGCCTTTCTCCCTATTATTTAAATTAAAAAGCAAGCAAATGATAAGCAGATTACAACAGGGAGGCTAATTGTGGTCAGGGAAGGAGCACACAATCAACTGGCCAGACCCTCACCTCTTTTGTGAGGTTCGTTGGTTCAGGGGGAGACAGAATACTGTCACACTATACCCACTCTGTTGATTCTCTACTCATCACATGTAGCTTCCCTCTGTGATGGCTGTAAGGTGCTGGTGTAGCTGTCAGTTTTGTTAAACAGCACTTTTCTCACAGAAACCACTGGAAAGACTCCTGGAGCGGACAACGTGCCCTTGACCGTGGCATGGCAGGAGCTGCCCTGGGGCCTCGGGTTCTGGGTCTCTGAAGGTAGCACCCCTCCCCCCTGCCAAGGCCCCATATTGTGTCGGCTCAGCAAGAGGCAGTGGCTCCCTGCCAGCCCCCTGACTCACAGCCTCCTGTCCCCGCTGCCCGATCCGTTGTTCTCCCACTTGTGTTGTACTAGCCTCATTCACCTACCCCTCCCTTTGTGAAAATAAAAGACACGGGCCTCATTAAAGCCATCATTCTGCCATATAGATGTTTTGGAAACCCATTCGATAGCACCAGATAAGAAGTAGAGCTCTACAGATTCTTCACAGGAAGCACCAGGAGTTGATCTCTTGGTCTCTGCCCCCATAAAACGAGAGGTTGGGCTAAATAACTTCAAAGTGGGTTCATCATCATACTCTAGAAGAAATGATTCAAGGTTACAACTGCCCCTACCATGTCAGGCCTTGGATACAGCTGAAACAGTGGGGATTAGCAGAAGAAGATAAAACGGGAGAGAACAATGGGAAGTGAGGCAAGCTAGCTGGAGAGACAGTGCTGAAATCCTTCCTCTTTTTCTTTCCACAGCTCCTAGAACTCCTCTCCACAGTTACTCTCAAGCTACGTCCAGGGGACAGGCCCCCTTGGCTCCAACCCACACTCCTGAACTTTAAGGATCCATGGGCTGTCTTTTTCTCTGGCCACACAAATCTTCACAGGAAGCTCACTGGAGTGCACACCCCGTCTTACCCGCTGGAGGGCTCACGGGCCAGGTCGGGGCAGGCTCAGGAGACATCGGTGCTGCAGCGACACGAGGGCCCCCAGCAACTCGTAGAAATTTGCCCTCAGCAGCCTTCCTTCCAGGAGGAGGCATGCAGAAGTGCAAAATCACTGATTCCATCCTTCACAAACTGCAGAATCTTGGGCAAGTTCCACATGCTTTCTGAGCCTCCCCTGTAAAGTTGGGACTTAGAAAACCCATCTCACAAGGTTGCATCAGATGAGATAACTTAGGTAATGCACCTCAGACATGGCGTGACACCTCGTGAGCACTCAATAAATCACTCCACTTATTTTCCCTGATGTTTCTTTGAACTGTCTGGAAGGGTCTCTGAAGCCAGCTAGACCAGAACTTTTCACAATTTGCTTATTCATTTGGTTGGGGGTTTTTTTAACCGTTAGATTTAATTTATGGAAGTAGAAATTAAAAACCTAGTTTTCCCTTAAGCTTTGAAGTTCAACTTACAAATCTCTTGCTCTCTTTAGGACCCTAGCATTAAACAATAATTTTTAGGGGGACTTCAACAAACTCAGTTAATTAAATTTCCTTAAACATTTTAAAGTGGGTTTATCAATTTAACACATTCTATTTTACTTTTTCCCTAAATACTTCAACATATATTCTGTTATCCATTGGCATGTAACATTCATACTTGAAACAGTGACTTAAGATAGTTTATTTTGCTGATGCACGTGGGGCTCAACTGGGCCCCGCTGGGCTGTTGTCACTCAAGATCCTCATGCTGTCATGTTCAGATAGTGGCTCAGGCTAGTGTCATCTCCAAGACTTCTTCACTCATGTTTGGGGCCCAGTCTGGGGACACACAAACAGCTGGGAGTCCTTGGGCATCTCCCTCTTTCTCTCTCCCAAGAGTTGGTTCATTGTGTTGCTATTTGCAAAATTGCTGTTGCAATCATTTGTTGCATGAATAGACCTAATGTATTTATCCATTCTACTGCTGATAGGCATTTGGATTGTGAAATTACTCAAATGTTGGGTACATGTATGTTCAACCACAGTAAATACGCCAATCAGTTCCCTAAGTGATTGTACCAATTAATATTTCCACCAGCATGTGACAGTTCTAGATGTTTCGCTTCTGGCATGTGACAGTTCTAGATGTTTCACATCTGGCATGTGAGAGTTCTAGATGTTTCGCATCCTCCCAATTGTTGACCTTGTCATTTTAAAAAATACTTTATCCATTGGGTATAGGTAGCCGCATACTGTTGTAGTTTTCATTTCAGGGAAATTTTCATTTCTCTAAAGAGCAATAAGGTTGAGTAGTTTTTCATGTTTTTATTAGTCATAGATATCCTGTATTGTGAAGTGTCTATTCTTATTCTTGCCCATTTCTCTATTCATTTATATGCTTTTGCTTATCTACTTAAAAGAATTCTTTAAGTATTCAAGTTAAAAGTCCTTCACTGCTTATATATATTCAAATATATTCTCCCACTTTGTGAATCTTCTCTTTTTTCTATAAATCATGTCTTTTTTAAAGTTTTATTTATTTATTTATTTATTTGAGAGAGAGAGAACTTGAGTGGAAGGAGGGACAGAAGGAGAGAATCTCAAGCAGACTCCCCACTGAATGTGGAGTTCAACTCGGGACTCAATCCCACAACCCATGATGAGGCCATGACTTAAACTGAAATCACCTGCAGTTAGGCACTTAACCGACTGAGTCACACAGTTGCTCCTGAACATATGTTCTTAGTTTCAATGTAGTCATTTATCCACTTTTTTTTCTCTATCATTAGTCCTTTCTGTGTCATGTTTAAGCAATCTTCTCCTCCCCTGAAGATATTCTTCTGCTACCCTCTAGATATTTTATTGTTCTGCATTTCACAGACCTACAGTCAACCTGGATTTGATTTTTGTGTATGGTGTATGGTATGGTGTGAAATAAGGATTAAATTCTTTATTTTCCAGTGGCTATCCAATAGACTGAGCACTATTTATTGAAATACTTATCCTATCCCCACAAGTGTCCAGTGTCCCCTTTGTCATAAATCAAATGTTTATATAACTTACAAATTCTAATCATTAATCCAGAGTCTTCAGGATTTTCTATAGATTCAAATATATAATCTGTAAGTAATGATGGTTTTATTTCTTCCTTCCTAACCTATACCTTCCCTTTCTTCCTTTCTCCTCCTTCTTTTTCTTTTGATGCCTTGTTGTGCTGGGTAGGCCCTCCAGTACAGGGATGAATGGAAGGGATAATGAAGACAACCTTCTCTCATACCTGACCTTAAGGAAAATGTTTTCAGTATTTTATCATCAAGTATGATACATGTTATTAGGTTTTTACAATAGCCCTATCAGATTAATGAAGTTCTATTCCTAATTTGCTGAGGTTTTTTTAAAAAATCATAGATGAGTATAGAATTGCATTAAATGGTTTTCTACACTTATCGAGATTTTTCTCCCTACTCCTGTTAATGAATTACATTAATAGATATGTGATTTTTAAAATAACCTTGTATCCTGGAGCAAATCCAATTGTATTACATGATATTTTCATCTTTGCCTATTTCTGAACTTAGTTTTAAGTTTTTTTTTAGGAATTTTACATCTATGCATTTTGTAATATCGTTGTCAGGTTTGATATCAGGGTTATGCTGATTTTCTAAAAAGAATTAGTATTCTCTTTCTTCCTTCCTATTCTTTGGAAGAGATCTTTAAACCAAACAGCTTCATAACTCTTGAGTACCACCCACCCACCTTACCTCCTACTCTGCCTTCTTTCCACTCAGTTGCTCAGGCCCAGAACCTTGGAGTCTTTCCACCCATCTTAGCTCTAGCTTCAAAATGTATCCCGAATTCAATTCACCACCTTCACTGCCACCACTAATTTCAAGCTACCGTTTCTTTCATACCTAGATTAACTTCAATAGACTTAGAACTGGTCCCCCCTCCCATCTCTCCCCTTTCTCCTCCCTATAATCTATTGTATACACAGCAAAGTGGCCATTTAAACATGAATATGATCTCATCACTCTCTTGCTCCAAATTTCAAATGGCTTCCAATTATACTTAGAATAAAATCCGAACTTCTTACCATGTGATATTAGGATCAGTCTATTATGACTTAATAGCACAAAGGTTTATTTCTCTCTTAAAGTCTGCTTAGAGTCTGCATGACTCATGAGGGTAACCGTCATTGTGTTGCAACTTGGTGACTCAATCCTCAATCTACTTTGACCTTCTGGCTCTGTCCCCTGCAAAAAGAAACAGTTTGACATTCCGGTGCTGGCTTTTTGATGCTGTGGCCCAGAAGGGAGACAAATCACTTCTGTCCAGAGTCCATTGACTAAAGATAGTCACATGGACTCATTTAATAATCAACTTTGTGCTTTGCTGATTAAAGAGACTGGGGAATGTGAGGAAGCAAAAGGCATGATTGGGGAGTCCTTCAGCCATATTACATTCTGATCTCATTCTTATGTATCCTGTTTCAGCCACACTGTGCTTTTGAGTGTCCGTCAGGCATACCTAGCTTCTTTCTATATTACGGTCTTTATAGGGGGGTTTTCTCTCTGAAATGCTTATCCCTCCCAACTTCTCCTGGCTGACTTCTTCTGGCCATTCCGTTATCAGCCCCTGTCACCATCCCAGCTAAAATACCCACTCACCTCACCATCACCTTCCGTCCCCTTGTTCTGCTTGGACTTTCTTCAGAGTCTTATTTTCTCCTCCCTCTCCTTTTGGGATTCCAATTATGTGCTTGATAGGACTGTTAAGTGTGTTCCCCAGAGCTCTTACGTTCTTTTCTCAGTTTTTCTCCCTGAAATTACACTGTGTATTTCTTTTCTTGTTTGATTTCTCTCTTCCCTCTATATTTCACAATGTAGTTCTCCCTGGTCCATTTTGAGAAATTTGATGGCTCTCTTGTCAGCCCTTGGGGGCTACTGTGGAGAATGAACAAAGCAATAAACAAACAACAAAAAAGCTCCTGCATTGTAAACGGAGACTCAGTGTTAACCTGGCCGCCCCTCAAGCTAGAGGATGAGGACCGCCCAACCAGGGCTATTGTTCCGTACATGGGATGCATACCAGAGGCTTCACAGGTTGAGATATTCTTTTAATGTGTGTCATTGTTTTTGGTTTTGTTTTAAAATATTTTTATTTATTTGAGAGAGAGAGTGAGCATGCACGAGAGGAAGAACAGAGGGAGAGACACAAGCAGGTTCTGTCCTGATTGTGAAGCCTACTGCGGGGCTCGATCCCAGGACCCCAAAACATGACCTAAGCTGAAATCGAGAGTCATTTGCTTAACCCACCTGAGCCACCCAACCACACCGTCTTTGTTTTTAAAAGGAAGAGACCTTACCTGGTAGAAGCAGGTCAAACCTGCTTTTATTATCTAATGATATATGGAATGGCAAAAGATACCTGGATTCCTATTAGGTTCTTAGATAAATTTGCAAATGTTTTAAATTAAACACAACATATCTTTATATATTTGAAATATAGCATGACATGTTGGAAAATTCTTGACATGATTTGTGAGCCTCCTACACTAACCCCACACTAGAGGTGCATACACATGAAAAGAAAATTTGGGGGGTATAGCTTAATATTTTCACCAATAAAGTCTGACAGAGAGTCAGATTTGTTCTAAGAAGAAGATAGTAAATGATCTTGATGATTTGATCTCATGAATACTTATTAAATATCCACTTGTTGTCAAATACTATGCTGGACACAACATACTTCGGTAGGTAAATCAATCATGGTGTCTGTCCTGAAGGAACTTAAGCTCTACAAAGGAGAGACATGAATCATAGGCACCATGTTCCCTCCCCACCAAGGCTTGACTCCTCCAAGGATTAATCTTTTCCCAGAAGATTCCTCAGTTCCTGTATAAATAGGCTTCTTGTGGTTCATTAATAGTTTCAGATGTAGCTGGATCCCTGACGCATATACAAATAAGCACTATGTCAGTCCATTGTGGAAAACATTACATTAGCATATAAAACC